AACTGGTACTACAAGAGACATCATTAATATTTAATCCATTAAAATATTTTATGATGAAAAAATTATTTTTCTTTTTATTTTTGTAGAATACTCTTGAAACATCAGAAACTTCTTCCAGACAGAAAATCAATGAAAATTTTGAATCAGGGAAGCTGTCAAGAAATCAAAATATATTAAGTAAGTCAGATCAAAATGATTATATTTTTATAAATTAATTAGCATTTTCAAATTTTATAATTAATAACATATGAGGTTTTCAGGACTAAATTGGATCAAGTCCTCAGTTTAATTTTTGAAATTTTTGTTTTGGTTTAAAATATAAATAGTATAGAAACTTCAGAAATAATTGTTGTGAAATGAATTTTTTAGATTTAGTAAAGTGTTGATATCCTTAAATTTATGCTAAGTTTTTAGCCTTTTAGGCACTTTCCTAACTAGCCTTTCATGTGCCTTCTGCAAGATTTTATTTTTGGTTCCATCTTTTTTTGAATAAAGTATAAAAACAAATATGATAGAAACACTAAAAGATATCTTCCATACATTTATTGGAAAAACAAACATTTACAAATACTTTTAGAGACCTTCATCGGGTTATTATTTTTAATAAATTAAATGTGATTTGATTACTTGAACAGTTCAAGTGATTGCATTTGATTTATGAAAACATATAATCCGATCAAAGGGAAAAAGGGGTATTCGCTAAAATGTTGATTGTTGTAAAATTTGCAGCATCAGCATACCCTCTCATGAAAGTTGCATGTGTCTGTATGTATGCCAGTGTACCAACTCTTTGGAACTTCTATGAATGTTTCATCTTATTAGCTTAAAGACTGGTACTAGCTCTTTAATATACTTTGATTTCTTGACAGCTTTCCTGATTCAAAATTTTCATTGATTTTCTTTTTGGAAAAAGTTTCTGATGTTTCAAGAGTATTCTATAAAAATAAAAAGAAAAATAATTTTTTCATCATAAAATATTTTATTTATATATATATAAAATACAGTACATATGTCTAACATATGTACTGTACTGTACCTGATTGTTCAAGAATAGTATGATTGGTTCTGTCTTTGACTAAAAATCTCCTGATATTCATACATTAAGCAGTTGGAATGATGTAATTATACCTGCAAAAAAAAGGGTGTGTTAAAATGCTCACAACTTAGTTTAACTACATTTTTGTAAAAAAATTGTAATTTTTTGTTGCACAGAACAATTAAAAAATATCCTCTGTTCATAATATACTTCACACTTGTTAAAAGCATTAAAACTGTTTCATCTACATTACCATAAATGCAAGTTCTGTAACGTTTTCCTGTAGATCTCACATTTTTGGTTAATTTCAAAATTGATTTGCGATTTGTTATTATGGTTGGTAAACTACTCACAAGAATTCCAAATTTTTGCTACAATATTGAGCCTTTATTGACTTCCCACAACACATTAACTTTTTTAGTAATTCTTAAACACTATATTAACAGTTCTTCAAATTCCAACTGGACAACTTATTAAATAAAATCTCACTAACTTCAAAAATTAGTCCAGCAGTTGTCAAAATTATTACCTTTCAAACGTTTTTGACATTCATTAATTGTAAATCATTTATCTGTTAACAATGACATTTGGTCCTAATCTCGCTCTCCCGTCTAAGATTTCAAATGCTAATGACGAGTATTTCTCACATCTGGGCTGAGGTTTTTACAAAGGGTTTACAGATTGATATCTGAAATTGAACCTAAAGTTGAAATGGAGTAATTGACTTTTAATGATCAGTGGTCCTTATAAATTAAAATATTCATTATATAGAAATTTAACTTTGTTATTTAGAAGCCATTTTACATACAGTTTTGGCTGAAAGAACAATGTACAATGCAAAAATTTGTTATAAAGACATATTTGCTATATAGAAGTTCATAATATGGAAGTTTGTATGTAATAAATTGATAGTATGATAGTTGAGTTTGTAACTTTATTTTTTATTATACAGAAAAATATTGATGATGATAAATATTTTTTGTTAGAGTAATAGAGTAAACAAATACTTAAGCAAATATTTGTTTATTCTCCCTTCTAAGTCAAGTCCAAGGCTGTTAGCCATAAATATTATCATACATTATGTGCAGACTATGTGTATTGATATAAATTCAGTTGATTTTTATAGTTTTCTGGTACATCATTAAAATGACAATTTTTTTTCTTTTGTTACAGGTAACACAGAAATTTCAAACAAACCTGAAAATTTGGTAAGTAAATATGTAATAAAAATAAAATTAGAAAATTCTAAAAGTGAAAGATATAAATAGGAGAAACTACTGCATATATAGATAAACAGTCAACATTTAAGAAACTATTCAAATTCTATTCAGTTGAACAATCTTCAAAATCAGATTCTTGTTATTTTTATCCAACCTTTAATATCCAAACTGTATATTAGTTTGTTGTTGAATGTTGGAAAAAGCAAGTACTGCTAGCAAATTGTTCTTTACATTAAACCCTTTTCTGAGTAAAGAAATTTGTTTTGCAGTTTTTTCAGACATATTTTGACACAAATCTATGATTTTGATTATATCAAATTTGATTAAATATAAAGGATCAAGAGACTAAACACGCCTTTCATACTTTTCCAGCAACTAAATTTAATCAAAACAAACATTTTTGGTTTGATTGATAAACTGTCAGATTTTTAAATAGAGGTTCTATTTTTGGAATACAATATTCTTTGATGTAAATTGTATTTTTTTAAATCATAGTGGGTGTTTTGATTATCCAATATAATAAAAAATTATAACAAAATAAAATACAGGTTAGGAGGAAATCACTTAATGCCCCTACTACAAAATATAGAATGTACCCAAAGTTAATTTGCTCATGTCAGGAACACATTAGACTGAGGGGGAAACAGATTGGAGTTTCGTTTAATACGGCTGCCATCAAGATGGCAGCAGTATTAAATGAAACTCCAAGATTGTAAATGGGAAGCGGGTCATGTGACACATCATTTAGTGTCAGAATTTCACAAGGAATTGATTGCTGAAAGATTTTATTGACCTACCTCAAACAGAGTTATACATGTTACATGATGTGCTCAACATACATTCTTTGGGTACATTCTATATTCTGTAGCAGGATGTTAAGTGACTTTCTTACTTTGTACATTTAAATAGAAAGAAATATAATAGAATACAATTAAGAATAAAAATAAATGAAATAACCTTAATGCTATGTTTTTTACAACACCATGGTTTTTACAGTGTGTCATGTCTTTGTTGCCCTCCTTTTTAGGGGTTATCAAACAACGACTGTCATGCAAAGGATAGCGTTGCAGTCTCTGCTATTAATACATTGTTCTGTAAAAATCTCTAATATTTTCACAGTTTGTAATTTGTGTTCATTGTAGATCTGTTTTTTTAAGTCAGGCATCACTGAAATGCACCGACATCCTGGGTTCACTTGTGTATTGGGCAAGAATAGTTAGCACATTGTTTTTGTTGATATCATATTTATGTTCTCTGATCCTATGTGCTAATGACCTAATGGTTTAGCTGATATAGGAAAGTTGTCTATTGAATTTGCTGTTGTAAACAGGGATAGAGTATATACCCCAAGGGCTTTATTTGCATCAATACAATCTTTACCATTAGTTAATAATCTGTATACTGTTGCCCATATTTGTATGCTATATGAGCATCTATATACAGTCGACCCCCCTATAACACGGTAGATACGTTCCGTTCTTTATGAATCAATTTCTTACGAGTCCTTGCCAATCACAGCCCGACACGTGTGAAGTTTACGGACTACAGCTGTTTGAAAGGTTTTCTTCCATAAAATTAATCGATTCTAGACTAATTCGACTCAACATTTCCAAAATATGTATATTTTTTTGGGGAATAATCCATATAAACTACGCTATAAACAAAAAATTGTAGGATTACTTACCAAGTGTACACCGTTCGATGTCGCCATTGCTCAAGCTTGTTTTCGTTGCGGAACAGCGCACCAAACAGCGGGCGATTTCTGATAAGTTATTNAATATTTGTGTTTTTCAAATAAATTTCTGTTTGTCTCCTTTATAATAAATGAATTTATCTATTTCTAAGTAAAAATTGAAAGTGTCTGTAGAAGTAATTTTTTAAAATATCCTTTTTCATGATAAAGATTTAATATTTATTATTATAATCTAGATATGTTAATCCTTAAATATACTTCTATATTGGGCCACAAGTATATATTATATGTACAGTACTTGTGGCCCAAAACTCCTTGACTTCTTTCAATGTGGCCCAGAGAAACAAAAAGGTTGGACACCCCTGCCCTAGATCCTTCTTTTAACATTATAACAAGCCCTCCTAGAAAAAGTTTTAATGAGCCAATCTTGCAATTGCAAGTCAGTAAGTGACATAGATCAACTGTCTATGCCCTTGATCCTCACACTAAGTGACAAGAGTCCAAACCCCCTGCAAGGTGGCTTCTCACATCATTACTGAATATAACATACAAAGTACTTTCGATGCTTCCTCTGAAATGGTTGAAACCTTAGTCTTTCTCATAGAATAGGCCATGATATCAACAGGTGGACTAGCCCATATTAATTCTAAATGAGGGTAAATATTCATGATCAAGCATCCAAATTCAGTGTATAGTTGCATAGAATACCAGATTTAACAAATCCTTCTTCATTTCTGTAGATTTCTTCTTCAAAATTCTTTTTTTGGATCTTCAACTCAGTGTATAGTATATATGATTTGAAAAATGCTAATTTTGATAACATTAAATGGCTAAAAACAGTATTTGTGATTACAATAAATGAATCTACTGTATTACTATTCTACAAAACTATATAATTATCATTTATTCAGTTTTCTGAATGCTTTCATCACTATTGCTATGTAAATTTATTTTGTCATTACTTGTCATTAATTAAAAAGTTAATTTTTGTTTATTTTCTTTATTTTATATTTGATTTTTACTCCTTATAATTTTTTTTTATTCTTTTTAGAAAAATTACACCAATTACATATTTTGAGCCACATGTTTCTTCAGATGATTCTTCAGAAGATGAGAAAATTGAAACAAAATTACCAAGAAAGAAATTAAAATCTTCTCAATCAAGTTCAAGTCAATCTAATGTTAAGAATATAAAAGATACTGAACCAAAAGTTCAAGGCTGTGCACCAGAAAAGAACAACAGTAACACAAAGAAAAGTACATTGCAAGATAATGATTCTTTAATAGGTCCTCAACTTCCATCTTATTATAAACCAAGAGATTCTAAATTAGAAGAAGGAATAGAGTCAAATTCAAAAGAAACTGTAAACTCTTTTTCACATAATAAAGATTCCGCTAATGAAATACAAGTTTCTTTATCATCTGACAAAGAAAATGATAAGAATGACAGGTTTCCTTCAAGTTGTGTAAAAAGTAATCAGTTTTATGGTCAGGAACCTGATTCAACAACAAGAAAAGAATCCACTTCAGAATTAAAAAGAAAAGAAGGATATCATAATGGAATAAAAACTATGACAAAGGTATATAAAATATTCATAATTACATAAAATAAGTTTTGTAGTACATAGAAATTTTTTGATGCATTTCTTTTATCAAATGGATCTATTTGTTCATCTGAATAAATGATTGTTTTACAGTAGAGCATCAATTATCCGAATCAATTGGGGACTGGGGTTGTTCGGATAACTGATATTTCAGATAACCGATTATGTACGAAAAAATAGTTTAACGTATCTGTTGTTGAAATTTTTTTCCATTGCGTGTCGCTTTGCGTTGAATTTTTGTCGATGTTAATGAAGACTATTGTATCGTTAAAAATTATTTTTTTATTTTGTACAAACAAAATAAATATATTGAAAAATATAAAAACAATAAAAAATAATACTTCAGAAGTTAATTTAGCATCAAAAACGTAAAATATTTGAGTAGCCCAAGA